AATATATTGATAAAGATGAGAACATTTATTAGTGTCCATGGACCTCATCCTTCTCACCTGTAGAACTTTCTAGGCTCTTGGGTTACGGTAACTTCTCGTATTTCAATTTATGCATTTAAATTCCACTAGGCCGCAGTACAGTTCGCTTGGAAGTCAACTTTTTTTCAGATTAGTTTTCATTATTTCACAGGTCATTCTCTGCTTCTCTGCTTCTCGTATTTTCTGCGTCTCTAACATAGATGCTATAGGAACTGGTGGAAGACAGTAATTTTGTTCTTCAGTATAAGATCGCCAGTCTTCTTGAAAATGAGCTGACCTACCACCTGGAGTTTTTTTTGTTCGCAATTTGGACTGAAAGATTGTTTTGTCCCCCCCCCCCCCCCTGGTTTTCACTATCTATCGCGCCTTGTTTACCGTCTCGTCTTTGTTACTTCCTTGATTCGACTCTTTGTCGTTGTGCCATTACCCATTCGAAATGTACACATAGATCTAGATTTCATTGTTTTGACTCTCTCTTGATAGAAAAACATTTAAATTTCCTCTGCGTCTCTAACGTCTTTCCATACAAAACCTACTCTGAATGGGAGCAATGAGAGAGCATGAACTGAAGTGTTTGCTGTAGGAAGGGGGGGGGGGGAATAGCGATAGGATGAGTACACCTTGTCTCGTCCGATTTTTCTCACAGTGTGACGATTCGTGAGCTATTTAGAGACCCTTTGACTCTGAAGATCAGTCCGAATTTTGTCCTGTATGTACTTCAAATGCTGCTCTGTTGTGGCTCAACGCGCTCCATTCTAACTACCGTAAACATACAGTATCCTATAGCCAACTTATTTTGCTCTGTGATTTCACAAATGGCTCTTTGTTATATTATAGGGTTCTGTAAACTCCAGCATTTTCCTGTTTATAATTTTTTGAAATTCTGTTTTTTTTGCGACTCAGCATCTAACTACCGTAATCCTAAAATAATGCGATCATTTCGAAATTTTTGGTTGGTTCTCTGTTGTTTCTTGTGGTCTGTTGTGTTCCGACGTTCTCCTATTCTGTATTTTCGAAGTAGCTCTATTGTGACTCAAGACGCGTTGCAAGCTTATTACGTAATACCGTAACCCTACCGTAACGCAAATGATCCCGCTTCGAGTCTCAGTTCTATTTCTTAGGGTACTGAAATAACCAACATTTTCCTTTCTTCGAACTATTATTTCTTGTGGCTAAAACGCTCTACGACCTGGCTTACCGTAACCCTACAGTAACGCGATATCATTTAGTTTTGGGAAACCGTTATTCCTCTGTTAATCTTTACGTTACTGTAATGTTTTATGAATTTTCCTGTCTAACATTATTGAATATGCACCTTTTCGGACTGCGGCTCTACTGTGACTCAAGACGCGCTCCAGTAACTACCGTAATCCAGCTGTAATGCGAACAATTTTGCATTAATCTTTTAGTTGGTTCTTTATCATCTCTCAGGGTGCTATTTAACAATTTCTTCTATGCCTTTTCAAATCGCGGCTCTGTTACGGGCAGAATGCGCTGCGACCTAACTACCGTAATCCTACAGTAAGACAAACTTGATTTTTCCTGCAGTCTTTGTGGTTCCTCCTTCATTTTGTTACCCTTCATTGATAAACAGTTCCAACCAATTTTGCTTGCTCTGCCTTCATAGCCTCCTTATCACTGGAACGCGGTTCACCTCATATACCGTAATCCTACAGTAGTGCGAACTTGATTCGCTCTAAAATGATCCATTATTCTGCAGATTCTGTCGCTATAAATATTCGCTTCAATTATAATCTTTCTCTCCTTGTCCTTTTCATAATTTAATTTATTTCGCTCATTATTTCGTCCTCTCAGTGTATTCTCATGCGCCCTTCTGTTTACATTTTGGATCTATAATGCACTTTGAAGCGAGCATTTTCGTGTTTTTCACCGACCAGGAGATTGAATCGTTCATAAAGCTGCTTTTTAGTGCGGATATGCTCCCTCCGTTGATTGCTAAGCTCTATCGGACGTCATCTAAGGCATGGCGTCAACGCTGAATAAGATAGCTCTTCAAGGACTTCGTTTTTATTCGCTTCGATGTCTTGTCGAGGAGGGAAGGAGGCGTTTTTTTGCCCCAATTTCCTGTTTTTTGTCTGCTCATTTATTACTCACATGTTTATACATATGGATGAGAATATTATTAGTTTCCCATGCTATCATGCAGTCGTAATTAATGGCTTCAGGTGTTATATGGAAGCGTATTATATGAGAATGTGATCACCCTGACAACCGGGTAAGAATAGAGAGCCAGAAATAAAAACTATCACATTCAGCGATATCACGCTACCATTCGTTTGCTTCTGCTTACATCCAGTTCTTTGTCTGAGGGGCAGGAGGGGGGAGGGGGGGGGGGGGGGGAGGGGGAAGATGTACGGCTCGAATGAGCCTTTAATCAACCTCAAGACTCTTAACTCAGTCTTTCTGCTGCTTCTAGGACGATCGCTTAGCAACTTTTTTTCCAGCCCCTCAAGTAAGTGGAAGAGGGGGTGGTGGGGGGTGTAATAATAGACTAGGTTAGTTTTTGTTCGGTAACAAGTGCTTCAGCTAACGGCCAGTATTTATTTCTTTTGGGTGGGGGAGGGGAGGGAGGGGGGGAGGGGGGGGGGGAGGAGGAAAGAGTGGTGTGAGTGAGCTTTGAGTTGACTTCTTTTTTGTGCCCCCGTCTACTGTTTCATTTACAATGATCCTCTAGCAACTTTTATTTGCACTCTCTCAAATATAAGATGAAGTGGAAGGGGGGGGGGGGGAACATCGGCAAGTTTTTTACACTTTTTTCTGTAGCTGTAATATGGATGATGAGGATCATCTGCCAACAACTTTTTTATCGATAATTTTAGCAAGGATTGTACGAAGACGGGGAAGGGGAGCCTTTGATAAAAACCTTGCAAGAAAGATAAGTCGCTTATGGTTTTAACATTTCATTTTGATCTATTTGAAAAATTGCATGCGTTTAACTTGCAGAAAGCTGTTAGAAACTAACTGCTGGTTCTATATGAGGAAGAGGAGAAGGAGAGAGTAAATGAGTAGAGAAAGGAAGAAAAGAAGAATTTTTTTTATTTTGCTTAAAATCTAATCTTCCACGACACCTGTTATGTGTCGTTTTTGGATCTTTGTAAATTTTTATCCCGATTTTTTTCTGTATCCCTCCCTACCTAGTCGAATCTCTCATTGGATTATGCTGGACATATGTAGTAAAACTTCTTACAAAAAGGAGCCTCAGATGCGCCTTGGCTTTTTTGGAGATGTAAGGCAGACTAGCCAATAATTCGTTTGCAAAAAAATAATGGAAGCAAATTATCTGCACTTCCTTGTACTCCCCTCTTTAGGTATCTGCATAAGGAAGAATTCTTCTGCATTTGGATGTGAGGAGTGTTGAAAAAATTTTTGGGAAATTTTTGCTTTTTATTCATGTTCCAGTTCCACCCACAACCACGCCTATTTTTATATTTGGTCGTTCGCTGCTAGGCAGAATTTTCAGAATTCAGACTTTTATTCCATTACAGAAGTCAAATTCACTATAATTGTAAAAGTGAGTATGCGACACTTTTCCTCTTATCAGCCAGCGTCTGGTGAAACTTTTAGAATTTGTTTCTGGAGAAAATTTCTTTCTGAATATTTTATTGATCCGTTCCTAATTATCATAAGACACCCAGGGTATAAATGTTTGATTTCTAATCTTTTACCTCTCGAACTTCTCTCACCTTTTAAATACTTTTTTGCAAATCTTTTCCTCTTTGTTCTTGGTGCAGTGGCTTGCAAGCAGACAGTGAATCACAAGAATGAATCATCTACACTTTTTTCTTGGAGGTGCTAAAATGATAGAATGCTTGTAAACAGTTTGTTCTGCTGCACTTGTGAGACTTCTATTTAGCTACTCGATCTTTGGTTGTAGAGCTTTGTCAATCTCATATTTCCATAAACTGATTGACGCTGAAGGGAGGGAGAAGAGGAGGGGAGGGGAGCTAAATCTTTAGGGAAGGGTATGTAAGTCATAAGTCTTACAGATTAAAAAGATTAAGTTTTTGTTTTGTACTTATTTTGTTAGTCAAATTACCGCTATGAACTCTATTAAGATCGAAACTGACTGTAAGATTTTTTGAAACGCGATTACTTTTCGAGAAAAATTGCGATCGTTTCTGTTTCATAAGTAAACGAACGTCAAAAGTCTCGGATGGGGTGCGGGGGGAGGGGGAGGGGGGAACAAATTTTTTTTTTCACGCTGAAGTACATGAAGTTAGCCAACTCCGAAAATTCTTTTGGGATGCTTATCTAAATTTCAGCGGGTTTATGACCTCGTAAGTTTGGAGAATTTTTGGAAAATCTTAAAATTCTCATTTTATTAAAGTAGAAACAAGAAGCACATTTTCATAACCCATGGAAAATAACTTTCAAATTTTTTCAACTCCCCCCCCCCCCTCGGTCCGCCACTGCAGTGAAGCTTTTTATTTTTCGCGCTCTTGTTTCACACCAGTTCAAATGGTAGAAAAATATTATAAACACTGTTCAACTTGTTCCTCGTTCCGGGTCCTTCTATCGCATAATCTTCCTATAATTAGGGTCCGTTGCTGCAATAGCCATTAATTGGCGATAAACACATGGCTAAATTGTGCAGATGTCGCTTTAGAGGTAGATGGCTGGGTTACGATAACATCTGGGAAGTTTCATAAAATAAACTTGATTGGGTTTTCTTTCCAAAGGTATTTACATATCCTCATCCCAAAGTTTCTTTCATGGCCCATAAGGAATGTCTGGCTGAAATAAATCGTGGGAAAAGACAAAATGTTTTTGAAGTTTACGAGCGGTATGACCATGTCCTAGGCAAATGATATCCACCCCACCTCCCCCCCCCCTCCCCGCCTTTTCCCAAAGCAAGCGGAAATCAAGCTCAGGTTGATTTTCTGACACTGATCGCATTGTGCTTTGAGCGGATATATTTGCTCGCGTTTGTCGATTGCTGGATGTTTGGAAACGTGCCAAGGTAAACATCTCGTGGATTTCACGCTTTCACTTCCATTATTTCATCTCAGTTAGCTTAGTTGCTCACCATGCTGATGTGCTCTAAGGCTAATTGACAGCGATCAAAATATTGATTATTTGTGTGCGTAAAAATAATGCTTTATCGACCATTTCCATGCCCGCTTCATAGCGGGTAGATTTATGAAAAAGAATCTAGATTTCGAATTTGAAAAGAATTCTGCATTTTGCCTTTGACCTCCTTATGGCTAGTTAGATTAATAATCGATGTATTGATTACTTGTATGGATACCTCTTTCATATGTTGAGTAACACTTTGGACCTTTATTTTTGAATCTGAGAGTGATTTTATCAAGTACGAATATCGTTTTTGATAGCATGCGTGATCTAATCGCATGAACCATGCGACATGCAAAACAGCGAAAACTGGTCCCTGCTCTTTTGAAGTTCTGGGAACTATACAGTGATAGCAAAAATTAATTGCAAATCATGCGAAAACGAGAGAAAAACCAAAAGCCATACTAAATTCCAGATTTTATGTGCGAGAACTGGTCCCCAGTGCTTTATTTATTCTAT